TTTATAATAAAGGCGCGCGCTTGCGGGTGATTTACCGTGGGAGGAGGATGCAAGCGCGCGCGCGTTATTCGCCGAGTTATCGTCGATGGTTCTACGGCGCGAAATTGCGTTCGTTAAATAATAAACGCGGAAAAAAAATAGTAGCGGGACGCGTAACAAGTGTGGGGACACGTCTCGCGTTTGGGGTTGAAGTTGGAACGAAAAGGAAGATAGGTTGTACGAAAAGCAGAGAGAGAAAGAGAGGGGGAGGGGAGCAGGTAACTGGCTGAAGAGACGGGCACGGAAAGGCGTGGAACGAAAATGAGAAGGGTGAATGATGTAAAGAGCGCGCGTGACTCTTTATTCCCGAAGTATTTGCATTCATGAATCTCGCAGACGCGCCGTGGAAACCGCGGACACGTGCAGCATTCATCGTAATGCAGAGCGGATTACCGGCGCATAATGTGATTCCGCCATATCGGTTTTCGTTTTTCTTCTTATTGTATCGGGCGCCGGCGGTGGCGTCGTCGACGTCGTATATTGGAAGTCGCGAGGATGCGCGATGATAGGCACGGATAATCAGGAAAGACATTCGCGAGGAGAAAAATCGAGTCTCGCTGATGCCTCTCTCGTGGATGTACATCACAGCGCGAGTCCTCGCTCTCGAGAACAGAACTTTTTCTGCGCTGAAAGTTTATCGCAACAACCGTGCTATTTTTCCTCTCGATCCGGCGGTCGTTAGAATCCCGCGCGCGCATCTCCATGGAAATTAGTTCGCGCGATGTAATATTCGGGAAAACTCGTAAAAACGTCCCCGCGACTTCCCGGCGTGCAACAACGCGCGCGGCGCGCGGTGATCGATCAAGCGGAAAAAGCGCCGGGTACCGCAGAAAACATCTTTCGCAGAGAGAGACCACGCTGGAATTTCGCGAAATTTTACGGCCGGAAGTTAAGCTGATCCGACGAAGACAAAGTTCAGGGCTATTACCCTTGTCGTCGGAACGTGGCTTGAATAAGAACACGTGTAGAGAGAGAGAGAGAGAGAGAGAAAAAAAAGGATATACGATTTTCCGGATCGTATGCTGCTGCCCTTCGCTGCGAGAGAGAAAAGAGAGAGTGAGAGAGAGAGAGAGAGGGAGAGAAAAAAAGGAAAGATAAATTATATTCTTCTCGTTACGTGCGTTCGAATTGTGACACGCGCGTTCACGCAGACGCGGACGTGATGTAAATGACGCATGAACATAATCGTAAATAATGAATCACAAGTATAAATGATGGACAATAATCTGTGACGTTCAATTTAATTATATAATTTATTTCGCAATATAATTTATTCTATATTTGCCAGATCGAAGTACACCTATGTGGTGCCATCTCACGATTCGACCGTTAAATATTTGATAACGGCTTAAATCTGTTTCCTCGATGTTTTTTTATTATAAATTCCCGTTTTGTGTGGTAACACACGTTCGATATGTGTGTGTGTAAAATGAAATTAATTGCTAGGTTACAAAAATTCCTCAAAAGTACAAAAAAATATAATAATTATATCAATTTTTAAGCGAAACGTTTAGCATGTTCACGTAAATGTGTAAAATTCACCATTTTTCTCTCTGTTATACCTTAATTATATAATATTTTGCGATAAATAAAATAAAAATAAAATAAAAAGAAGAAAAAGTAGAGAAAAGAGAGATAGAAAAAAAAAATATACATATATATAATTACGGCCACACAGTTCTAAAGTCGCCTAAAGTTCGTTCGCAAAAGTAACCGATTAAAAAATGCTTCACACATCATCTTTATTGTTGCAAAATATTATCGTACTCATTACCCATGATTCGTCTCGTTGATATCTCTTCCCCTCCTCCTCCCTCTCTCTCTCTCTCTCTCTCCTCTTTTCTCTATCTTCGCTCTTCAATTGCACAAATTTGCAGGAAGTTACGCAACGTCGATTTTCACGCGAGCTCTGTCGCTCGCGAAAACAGATTCGCGCACAGAGATCGCATCGGGGTCGGACAACAAACAAAGAGACAGATTCGTACCTGGCGAGGCTCGAGATACGCATCGAGCGTGAATCTCGGAGACGTCACGTTAACATCCAGCCGCGAGACATGCGATTCGCACCAGCCGCGGAGCACTTGGTCGAGCGGCACTTACCGGGCGCGCTTATTACGATCGAAAGTTTATGACGAGGTACGTCGTGTCGCGGCACGGAAAGATCTTTCCGGCACGGCCGAATCGCAGACCTTCCGACTGTTTTTGACGTTCCGACGTCGCGTGCGCCATGGCGGTGCTGAACAGCTGTTCATCAACTGCGGGGGTTGTTTGGCAGCAAGAAAGGGGTCGTCGTCGTTGTTGTCGCCATCTATCGCCGGCCGTCGACACCCGTTTTCACCCCTCGAGTTTCTCCCCTTCCTGCCTTTAGCTTCCGCGGGAAAAACCGTTCCCACCGTTGGTACATTTCATTCGCACACACGCGTCGATGCCGTGTCAATTTGACTCTTCGCGCTAATAATTAATACTTTTCGACTGCGCGTCGGGATTTCTTTGTTCTCACGTTTCGCATTACCGCGGTCGCGCGCATGCGCGCGTGAAAAATTAAAATATCCACCCGTTCGAAGAGCCGCCGCCGCGATGGTAAATCAGATTCGCTTCCCTCCTCGTAGACGCGGTTTCCCGAATACAAACGCGATGACAAACGTCGCTTCGCGTTTCCCGAAGGCCTTGATACCTCTAGACGGACGGAGCTATCCTCGCATATCATCACGTGCGATCGGTGCAATTAGATACGCGCAATACATCGGCCACAACGCGCGTAAATACGCGCTCGAAGCGACGCTGAGGCGCGCTCGTCCTCGAAAAAATGGATCGTCGTCGCGCACTCGGCCGGCGGTTCCGAAAATATACTGTAATGGCATCGGTAACGTTGCGTCGTCATTAACGTTCGGGTGTGCTTCTTCTTCGCGTGAGATAAGTCGAGCGTTTCCGTAAGTGCTACGCTCATCGCGCGACGCGTTGATTAAACGACTACGCGCTGTCAGTTGCGTCACATTTGACGCGTGTTGTAATGCAACCGCGACGACGATTCATTTTCTATGCAACGACTCGTTGTCTACCGCATTCCTTCGAGCCGCTGGCGCAAGATATCACGCGAAATTACAATTAGCTCGTACTACGCACGAGGATAAACAAATCGTGATCACGTAGATCGCGCGCTCCCCGCGAATCGCCGGTGTGTTCATCGTGCTTGTACACTCGGTCACGGGACGGTTGCAACAGTTTTGTTTTACATGTTTCGGGACACACAAGAATATGGAGTAATTATTTTACTTAGACAGAGTAAATGTTATTCGAATGCAGTAATGTTTACTTAAAGTAAAATGATTACTCCAATATTTTTTATCAAATATTTACTTGAACGTAATTTCTGCTTTTAGTATAGGAATCGTCGATACTGCATTCAAGTAAGTGTGACTTGTTTCAAGTATTTCGTAAGTTTGTATAATATATCCGCAATTATACGCAAGTATATCCATAAGTTCATCGTAAATATCAAATTTACTCAAAATATATTGTAAATCATAGTAAGTTTAATACTTTGATCAAGATTGTTAAATTAAAACAAAAACTTCGGTTCGCTTACACAAATTTGTTGAATTTAACGTTTCTTCAATAAAATTTATAATATTCTTGAAAAGAGAATAAATCCTTCTTTGGGATATGTGATAATGAGCTTATCTAAAACTTGCGACGAGTATGTTAAGACTATCGACACGAAAGTATGTTTTGTTGAAGATAACTATTACTTGAAAGAAGGGAAATAAAACTGAGTAATCGCTTTTCTTAACAGTAATGAATAATATTTTCCTCCGGGAGTACCTGGGCGTGATTCCTAACTGTTCGTGTCGACAATCGATAACGTTCTCTCACCTGCCTTTTGAAACGCTGAAACATTTTTCACCGACCACACTATATCACATTTTACTCTATTCGTTATCGCGTCGGACGGGCAACACCGTAGTCACCCATACGGCTCTGATTCTGTATCTGTGTAATACCTGGTCTCCGTGGTTGTGTTTACTCACGCAGAAGCCCGTGCACGTATGCGCACCAACACAGGTGCGGCTACGTGTAATATGAATGCGCGACCTTGTGAGCGCAACAGGCGTCACTTCGCCGATACAGTTCTACGCTTTACACCCGGTATATGACGGGTACGAGTAAATCCCCCTACTTCGGCGACAACGGCCAATTTGATGAAAGTGCCGTAACTACAAATCTCGGCTCCCCTCTTGATTTCCTTAGCTGGATAAAAATCGGAAAGGCCAAAGGCGACGAATTGAATCGCTGATCTTTCTGAGTTAATCAGTAGATCTCTAATCGTAGATTAGTTGACAGGTTGAATCGTGCCCCGAACATACCGGACAAAATCACGAACGAAAATCTGCATACGTCTTGCGTAGTCGTGAGCGATAACAGATTCTCAAAAGGACAAACCGAAGCACGCGATATAACGTTTGTAAGAAATACAAATTTGTAAGGAGAGCAAGGTAACGGACCGTTGCTAATCGATCAGCGTCGAGGCGCTGTTAATCAGCTGTTAATTAGCAACTTTATTAAAAGCTGCTCGATTAAAAGTTTTATATAAATTTCGAACAAAATCCACGCATAATTTGCGATCATTTGCGCGCACATCGCCCACTAAAAATCCATTTAATTGGCTGAAACAAAATTTAGTTCCAATATGGGCAAACAAAGGTTTGGAAACAAAAAATGCAAAAAGTTTGGTTTCAGAGAACTTTTTTCAGTGAACCGAATTATAGTTCTCACAACCGAAACATTGATTTTTTTCGCCCATATCCAGACGAAGTTTGGTTTGCGTGAAGCAAGTAAATTTTTCAGTGCGACGATTCTTCCAGGTGCGCAGGTGCGCGGGTATCGTCGCCTGCTGCCGCGGACGGGGCCGACCGGGGCGATTCGCTCAGGCGACGGCGCCCATCGGCGAACACCTTAGGTGTCGTCCGCCACTGGGAACTCGTGGTGGTGACCTCTTATAAAGGGAACCCACGCGAGAGAGCAGGCTGCATACCACGGAGACGCGTCGCGCGTGCAACTGAAGTCGGCTGTCGCGAGCAAAGGGGAATCACGAGACAACCGCGCGCGCGCGCGCGAGATCGCCTGCGTAAGGAGCCATTCATGCGGTCGTACGACACCGTCGAGGATCGCCGCGACGACGACAACAAGGAATTTCGTTGATCGACGCGATGACGTAGACACGGCTGGTGTCCCTCTCTCGGTGTCTCTCCGTCGGTGTGCGTCTACGATGCGCGGTGGATCATCGCGTCGCAAGCGCGCGTGCAGGCGTATAACAGTGCGTGGCGACTGCGTGTTGTACGCTCTCGGTGAAAGCTCTCGGCGGAATTCCTCCCGGTGAACTCCTCTCGGCGATCGGCGGTGAAATGGTGCGAGCCCGCTCCGAGCAACCGCTCCGCCGTTGATCATCGGATCGACAGTCGTCTAACCGTCGTCGTTGATCGTCCCCGGGTGGAAGGAAGCTGACAGCGGACGGTCGCGCGAAGAGTCGAATCTCTCAGGAGGCGCATCTCGTCTCAGGTCAGTCCCGAGTCGGCCCAGGCGTGGACCCAACGCGCTGACGTCGCTCGTCCCAGCCGGTTGGCAACCGTCGCTGGCTACCTGCTCTTTTCGACCTGCCGAACCGGCCGGACGTAATTATGGTACGTGCGAAATTCGCTTCCTCCGAGAAGGTAAACGCGACAATGTGCGTGTGTGTGAGCGGGTCTCTGTGTGGCGCGCGCGAGCGCACACCGACGTGGCCCCGAAGGCCGGACTTTGCGATTAACCGCGATATTGCGTTGACTGACGCCTCGCGTATATGAAAGGAGCCCGGCTGGCTACCTGGCGACCGGCGGGTCTCGCAGTTGGAACGCTTCCCACAGCTCGAACCCGCACGAACTCCCCGCGAGTCGAGCGCGCGAATAACGTATAACGGATTGTTTCCGGATATATCGGACGAACGAACGCTTCCCGCTAGACCGCGATGCGCGTTATAACGAGACACTTCTCCACTCTAGCGCTCTGTCAATTTCGACCGCACGGACACCCGGTAACTCAGTAACTCCCTCTCAGTAACTGAGTATACGGCTGATTTCAGACTATCCTTTAGGTTATTATTATGTGATTATTATTATCGTTAGGAAAGTCAATAGGCCCGTATCCTGAACGCGCTTACAACGATATTAGCGCGCTAGCGAGTCAACTTATTAGTAGTTCTGAGTAGACATTTTGCTATGAAAACGCATAACCGAACGCAAATCGAATTAACGTCGCCGTGTAAATGTAATCAATCATTTGAGGTTGGAAATTAGCAGCACTGAGAAAAATATCCGGTCGTGTCTGATCAGATAATTGTTGTCAAATGAAATAATAACAAACGGATGTATCCGATCAAGTGCAATGTCCGATCGTTTCGTCATTTCATCCGACCGAAGTCGCGCCCTTATCCGATGAAAATGACAAAATTACGGATATACAATGGGCGATTAATTTTCCGATTAGGTTTCATCGGTAACCGCATCGGTACCTTCATCGGATAAAGGTATCCATCGCTTGATCGGACAGTAAAAATAACAATCGGATACATCGTTTAATCGGTTTATCTAATGGAAATCTTTCTCAGAGTGCGTGCACCCAGTTACTGAAGGACTCGAGTGGTCGAAATTGACAGCACTATTCTCGATGTGCGAAGTGCTTTTCCGACCACGTATAACAACGAGGATTTATCATTTCGTGTTTACCATATTTTATCATTTCACATAGTCATACTGTCATGACGAGGTTTCATCATGCTTATCATCCAGAAAGGCACCACGATAAGAAGGGCGACCCGAGATCGATCTCTAGGCGCTAAGAGTTCGACGTTATCTTTCGCCCTAGACGACACACCGAGCGTTGAAGTCTCTCTATTAAGAAGCGGAGGAAAAACGTAGCCGCGCGCACGAGGCATGCCGCGTCGATTCTCATTAGTTAATGACGCGGTAATCGAGGTCGGTCATCGTCGGGTCGCGGCGCACTTAGTGTGACTTTCCTTGCGTGCCCCTTCGTTCAGGATCAATCGACGTTATCTACCTACGACCTACGGCGTGGTCACGATACAAGGCGCGGTACGTTTCTTATTTTTTCTTTTCTCTCCTCTCGATGGGGAAAGTTCGATCGCCGCCTGGTTTGCTCGATTGACATCTCGTTTTTGCATGAGCGTGGTTTTATTGCGTCGGAAGTCGCGAGGATCGGCCGTTGCCGAGCCAGAACAGCTGATAATCACCTGTTATTGGTGATAAAATCATCGTATTGCCGGCCAGACGAGAGAAAGCACTCACTGCTCCGTTGCTTTATGATCGGGAGATCGGTTCGCGCCCGAAAGAATGGTCGGGAGCGCGGCTGCATCGCTTCCCGATGCCTTTCCAATAGTAACATCGAGTCTTCCTTCTCGATATGTAAAGAGATTTTGTGGTGTTGACTCCAAATATAGCAGTTTAAATCAAAGTTCTAATTTTCATCATTTAGTAAACAAGAATCAAAAGGGAATTTGATATTCGAGGCTTTCGTGGTGCAAAATAAACGGAATTGTCTTCAAAAATATCTTTTTTAAAGCTAATTTACTTTGAGTTCCTGCGTAATCTTGTAAAAGTTTTTAAATGTGACATGTGTTTTAATTTCCTGTAGGAAGATAGAAATTATTTCTACTCTTCCTTACACATTCTTTATTTCGAGACTGTTAAAATGCACCTGATAACATTCAAAGTGAATTTTAGTTTATCTGACAGTATGAAACATAAAAATAATAAATTATAGTAAAAATATGTTCTGTTTACCTTTACTTTTATACTTCATATATTAATCTATACATAAATTAAAATATAGCCTATATTCTTTTTAACCATAACTAAGTAACTTTTTATTGTCACTTTCTGTTTCAACATGTCAGCACAAATAAAAAAGATTCGAATTCAGGAAGAATACAATTTATGACGCGAAATCTGTTGACCGGTGTGGTTAACGAAACGTCGAACGTTTCTCGCGTCGAAATCTTCCCGGCGCAATCCCTTTCTTTAATAACAAAGATATCTATGCAAATGTTTGCAGCCGGTACATAATTCATACACGTCGTTAAACGAACCTTATCTCCAGTTTGCGCGGCGACCGTCGCGAGCACGCGTGTACCGCACGCGCGAATATTAATAGCGCACCTTCACACATGGTTGCGTGTGCGTGCGCGCATCGTCGCGAAATGCTCACGGCGGAATCTTGCAGCTCTCGTGGACGACTTCGTCGGGCTCTACCTGTGCACGGTGATCTCCGAGCCGTTATCTGAACGGTCACACGCCGCACAATCGGCGATAAGCCGTAATTGGGATTCGGGAAGGACCCGCGTGGGAGAGACAATCGCGAGAATGGCGCTGGCGAAGATCCGGAGTTTCATCGACAACAGTCTGAAGACGGTCTCCACGCCGTTGGACCGCACGGTGAACTTGGAGCCGGAAGTCGGCATCAGGATCGTGCACTCGTCGAACGAGAAGGCGCTCCACGTCACCGTGCTCGGCGCCAGGCACTTGCCACAGAACTTCGGCTTCACTAGAGTCAACAGCTACGTCGTAAAGGTAAGATGAACAAGAGAGAGAGAGAGAGAGAGAGAAAGAGAATGCGACTATTGAAATGCGAGGGTCGATCGCGATTGAGAGCTGCCAAGAGAGAGCTGTCAAGATCATCAACAGTGACTTCTCAGTCCACGAACGTGCGTTTATCAGACACTCGCATATCGATATCCGTCCAAGTATACTCCGATTGCCCGATAGCCGTGATCACTTGTCGCCAGCGCGCCAATTACTCGCCGATCTCGCGTGGCACGGTGCGATTCATTTTATCTAGACTTCTGTAAGATTCGAGACGCGCGAGCGACACGATAATGTGCAATATCGATAACGCGTAATAACAATGCATGCTCGACGATAAACACGCTGCGACGGACGGGTCGAGCAACGCGAGCTCTTCCATCGGGCCATGTGCACTGCGCGAGATCGCGCTTCGTTGCGCTTCGTCGTGCCCGAGGATTACTCGCGCGTTATTCACAGCGCCGGAGACGCTGCCGCATTCTCGGGTGTTATCTGCGATTACGTAACGCCGACGGATCGTCTCGTATTGTAGGAGGCATCAACTGTAGTATCTTATTGACTGGCGAGTGCTCGCGCGACTCGTCGCTCGCGACTTCCTTCCAACGCGAACGTAGCGCGCGACATGGGCCACGTCTCAGCAGGATGTTTATTTTAAGGCTTCCGCACGCAAATTGCCGTAACCGTAAACATAAGACGTAAATTTAGACTGAAGGATATATGGTTAAAAAATTGCTTTTTTCCATTTTCCCTCGGAAAGAAACCGAAAATTTCCGCGGAGAAATTGAGGGAAATACGTTTTTTTTTCGAATTTTTTGACGGTGTAACCAGGATTCAAACCGAGTAACTGGGATTCCAATCAGTCGAATCTTAGTTACTTCTGCTTATGATTAGATTTACTATAAAAAAAAAAAGATCTGCCCTCTTTCAGAATACATAAATCTAAAGCGATATCCTGATTGGGTTTTTCAGCCTAAATTTATATTATTCTTCTTATGTTTACAATTGCGCCAATTTGTGTGCGGAAAGCCTTACAACTGTTGGAAGTTTTCTGTGCCGAGGAAACTTAAACTTCTGTGCTCGAATATTCTTCTAGTTCTAAAAAAATAATCTAATCTCTGCTCAGAAAACTTCTAATAGTCGCAAAATAAACGTTCGGCTAAACGTGGCCGTGGTCATCGCAGAAAGCTCGCTACGTGGTGCACATCGGGAGTCGATTCGCGTCGCTTTTCGACGTATTTCGGGAACAGATGGGATAACGTGGATCGTTAAACGGCGGCACGTCGTCTCAAAGTGCTTTATTATTTATCGCCGAAGCGAAATTGGACCACTGGCGGAATATGAAATAAATGTTCCCTGTGCTCTGTCGAAAGGAACATATCGAGAGATACGTTTCATCGTTCAGAGAATAAGTGCGTGCTAATTTCGTGCACTTCCCTTCCAGAAAAAAAAAACAGCTCTGCAAATCACGACCCAATAATATCCGATCCGGCCCGATTATCAAATGGTAACTTGGCCCGATCGGTATCCGTTTCGGTGAGAACGCAGCCGAGCCTGCAGATGCATTCTGTAATTTTTAACGACAGTGTCGTTACCATTACGTTGTCGTTGCGCACACTGCAAATTCAAGCGTGTTATTTTAGCTGAAGCTTTTCTTACGTATTTCTACGTCATTTTAAATCATGTCATTTAACACGATTGGACGTGTTAATTTATAATTTAACACGATTAAATGTTTTAAATGACGTAATCTAAAACGGCAAAAAAGAGCTTCAGTCAGGTGTGTTATTTGTACACGTTTATTATATGTAAAATAACACTTGGATTTGCAGTGCAGGTACACGGTAAAAGAATTTTGTGTTACAAACGGTTCATCCAAATTTTTATATTACTTTAACAAAATGAATACGTCACAAAAATTATATAAAAAGTAAAAATATGTTAATAAGGAGAATGTGTTAATTTAACATATTCGTATACTTTTTAACATATTATCTGTGTTAAATAATAAAATAACACAAAAATGTACATGAGCCGTTTGTAACACAAAATTTTTTATTGTGTACAACATATGTTAGAAAAGCTACGCACCGACGATATAACGATAACGATCTTGTCGATAAATATTTAAATCGGCTTTCGAGTTAGTGCCGCGTTTTTCATGGATTTCTTTCCGACGTGAATATTCCACTTCACTTCTTCAGGGTGAAGAACGACCCGAAACTGTCCAGTTTTGGCCTGTACTGAACAGTTTCAGTTCGTCCTTCACCCTGAAGAGGTAAACTGGAGTGTTCATTGGAAACGTCAGAAACAAATCCATGAGAGATGCGGCGCTACTCGGAAGTCGAATAAAATATTCATCTACACTGCGAAAGCCCAAAATATCACATTGTCGTTGAAAGTTACAGAATAGGTCTACTGACCCGGATCTGTTTCTAGCCAGCAAAATAATCCGAGCCAAGCTCGGCCCTAATTTCACCAAAACGGATCAGGCCAAATTATATTTGATTCGTCGATGAATTAAGCCGGATCTGGTATTTCCTCGACTACGTTGAGCCTTAGTTCACAGGGCTCTGAGAGGAAATTGATCGTCTCGTTTTACACCGCAACTTCAGATTTTGTCCGTTTTCACGACGCGTCCCGTAGAATCCGCGCGGATAGATCAGAGAACGGAGAGAGAAGCTTCGTCTCGCCGATGCTTCGCGATCAGCGAACCAGCCGGGAAATGACGAGCTCGGGTTTCCAGGTGAAGCTAATCCCCGGCAAGGAGAAGTTCGAGACCACTTCGAAGAACGAGTCCTGGCCACAGTGGAACGAGGAATTTATCTTTCCCTTGCGCAAGGAGACCAAGCAGAAGTTCGGCAAGTCGAAGGTGGTCGAGGAGGAAATCAACGGGTCGAGATTCATCGTCGCGACCCTCTACGCGGTCCTCGAGGACAAGCCTCTGATTGCGACCGACAAGAAGGACTCGGAGAAAGGCTCGCCCACTAAAGGAGGAGAGTCGCCGAAGAAGGCTGGCAAGAAGAAGGAGGGCCAGAGCGGCTCGTCCGAGAACCAAGAGTCCACCACCAAGAACAAGCTGCTCAGCCAGTTCTTCGGCAAAGGTCCCGACAAAATTGCGGAGCCAGCAGCCGCGGAGAGGAAAGTCTACGACAAGAGGCGAACCGTGGGCGCTACGACGATCCCGCTCGACTCGAAGAACTTCGTCACCAAGCCGCCCAAGTCCAAGCACACCAGCGACGTGTCTACGGGAGACTTGTGGAAACCGCTGCGACCGATCGCGAGTGGCATCATCGGCGCCGAGGATAGGGTATGTTTGCGAGACCTCGCGAAAAAGTGCGCGACTGATGTCGGAACGTTCCCAAATTTTCAAGTGGAACACAATCGAACATACTTTTGAGTCTGTCTCAGACTAGGTGTTTTGAGACCGAGGATATGGGTTAGAAATTGGAACTCGACGAATCCGCAGATTTTGAATCCGATTCGCTCGATCTGGCCTCTGTGTTGGTACGTTCGCGGATTTCTTTCCGCCCTTTCGGTTCATTTCTTCGGGGCAGCGATTCATAACTTTTTCCCGAGAGCGAGAACATGAAAAGTGTAAAGTTCCGCGCGAATTTAACGACTTGAGCGATCATGTAACCTATCGAACAATGGAAATGTGAAACTTCTCACGTTTCCGCTCCTGAGGAAAAGTTACATGAGCGCCGCTCAAGGAGAAAAACACCTGGAACTCGGCTCGTTTCGTCCGGTTAATCAATCTTCAATCTGCAATCCTCGATGCCCAATACCTAGCCTGATACGAGCTTTAGAATATTCATGTAAACTTATTCTCCGATACCGATTGAATGTTAACGCATGATCTAGTGATCTGATTTGACTAGGAAGCGGAACGTTGCACGATACCAAAATATTCTTTCAGAAAGAGAGCAAGAAGGGCCAAGTCGAACTGTCGCTGTGCCTGGCGAAGGGCGAGAAAGAAGAGGACAGCGACGGGCAGCTGATATTGTCTCTGAATCGTCTGAGATGTTCACTTCAGACGATGCACGAGCACGAGGGTCTGAAAGGGCAGATGTATCTGAAGATGTCGGTCGTCGACGGCGGACGAGTCACGCACTTTTGGAAGAGTGACCGCTTCGCACCGACGGTATCCACCAAGTTTTCGCCAGAGACGGCGAGAGTGATCGCCGACAATCCGTACAAGGGTGCGCTCAACGACGTGAGCTTCGTCGTGAAGTTCGTCTCGAAGAATAAGATGGGTGAGCAACACGGCGAGATTTCTTCTGCTAACTGTTGGAAAATAACTTAAATTGACTTCCGAATTAATGTCGCGTATTTCATGGATTCGTTTTCGATGTTTCGTGAACATTTCAGTTCCTCAGGGTGAAAGTAGTTTCTCGAAATGTTCACGAAACGTTGGCAGCAAATTCACGAAAGACATGATACTAATTTCGAAAGCCAATTTAAGTATTTTTCCACATTGCGATAGCCTAAAATATTAGTTGGAAAATAAGTCGAAAGGAAGCGAGAGAAACGCGATATCTCTCGTGTGACAGGTTTCGCTAAATTTGTGTGGATTTTTAAAAACTCAAAGCCAATAGTCAGGCACAGCTTGATATTTTTCGTTAGTTCCTGCCACCGAAAAAATGGCCGGTACATTATTGAATAAAGTCATATCCGATTATAAAAGTATCGGCTTTTAACCCTTCGCAAAAACACGCACGAACTTATCGAATAATTTAATAGAAACTTACTCTCTAAATTTCCTGGAGTGGAATCTCATTAAAAACGTGTAAAAGGTAGTGAATGTTTCATTCAAGCTTAGAGCGGATTCTGACTCCGCACGAGTGAATGTTTCGAAAGTGAATTTGTTCTCGTGACGGTGAAATACATCAGATTCACTTTTCAGTTTCGAGTGGAAATGTTCACTCGACGAATCAGAGTGGAGAACTCGCATTGTCCGAATGAAACATCACTCCGAATCCAAGTGACTCGACTGTCACTCTGCGAGAGTGAGAGATTTCACATATAAGAAATTTCGAGAGTACAAACAAGTTTTCTCGCAATGAGGACGAACGCCGCTCGCTTCGATTTTATCCGACTGTCTTCACGTTTTTCAGGCAAAAAAACTCCCGTGGGTCACTTCGTGATCGGGCCCGACGTCGGCGGCACTTACGGCGAGCAGTGGAGACAAGCCTTAGCGAAACCGGGCCAGCAGATAACCAAGTGGCAGGCGTTTGAATAAAAATAAGTCGCGCGACGAGTTCGGTAACTTATTCGATACTCGGTGAATGCGCAGCCGTTGTGTCATGCGACGTACTTTCCCCTCGAAGACATCGAAAGACTCCCCTCCCCCCCCCCCCCCNAGCGGAAAATGAGAACGCTATAGGCGCGCCATAAATATTTAAGGCACTGATCGATAAAGCTATTCCAAAGAATACCATAGACACTGGTCGCGAATACGCGACCTCTTCCCATCCGGAACGTCGTCGGACGTCGTATTGCATCTTGCCTTGCGCTGCGCACGTTTATAACACACGTGGCGCGTCCGCGTTTGTCGCCATTATACCGTAAGGGAACATTCATTTTCTACACTGAAAAAGAAAAGCGTTCTTGCATCGACGGAATCGGCCGACAGCGCCGTGATTGGAAATCTTTTCGATTCAACGGAACGATGTATTGCTGAAACTGACACTCTCGAGTTATTAAAACAACGTATGATGCATTGCTTTTCATGATGTTGCTGTTGAATCTACGAAAAAAATTGTTCCAATTGCGACGCTGTTGATCAATTGTATTGATGATGTAACAATTTTTCCCGTGTATAAAGACGCTACCCGTAAGTTTCCACCGCACGGATTCATGCAGGCACGAATCCTTCACCGATATTATCGACCGTCCTTGATTCCACGAGGAGGAGAGAGAGACTCGGTACGACTTCTACCCCGAATTCGATCGATGTAACCGTCCGTAAAGTAATAAGAGTTATCGCCGTTAAAGTAATAATGTTATACGTTGCGAGGAATGCGAAGGAATGCGGTAACGAACGACGCTACGAGTATAACATATCATACTTGGTAAGAACGCGCGGAAACAGTGAGCTCGCTACGTTGATTTATAGTATTAATTAATACTTTTTGTTACGTGGAAATAATGTAATTTTAACGGAGACTAATACGAGAAAGAGGACCATGTAAGAGCGTGCCGTCGTCTGTGAAACGTGTCTTCAAATCTGATATTTTTATCCTTAGCGACGACGAGACGAGTAAATTGGACTTATGAATGTACATTATTGGAGTTATGAATGTACATTATAACAAATGCTCACTTGTATTATAGCGCTTTGGCGATCACGAACGAAGCGAGTGCACATTAATATTCGGAGATCGATTTTAAACAGAGGATTTGAAAGCCATTTCTCAGATTGTGATAAATCGAAATATTTTTTCTATTGATTATCGTTTGTATCATTATTTAGTAACGCAAGTATTTTAACGTGAATGTTAAGATAACGTTGTAATCGTCCCCGTCCCCCACGAAACATATCTTTATAATTGAAGCGTATAAAGGTATGTGTTAAATGTTAGCGTTAGTATGTTAAACAATGTTTCAACAGCTCAACACGAGGACGCGTAAAACCAAGATTAGAGAACTTTAAAGGTTCTTGCGTGATTGAGCATTATAATCCTATAATCCTAACATTAATTAATTCGATATTTCTCCTATGAATGTGTTTCTTTTAATAACATAATGCGTCGACAGTATTTTAATGAATGTCCGTAACTGCTGACACCAAAAAGTATACAGATACACGATACAGATAATTTCGCACAAATGTATGTAAAAACATGTTTTTACTCACTCTTCTCTATTCTACGTGTAAAAGAAGAAGTAACGTTATTTATAAATATATATTCTAATATAACTATTATATTTATATATTTCTCCCTATCGTAAAAAAAAAAAAAACATCAAGTTTGTCGGGTGTTGTGTTCGATCAAGGCAATGTCTGTTCTCATACTTATGAGTCATTTTATTATTCGTATTTCATACATTCGTGTAATAAATTCATAGCGATGCGTGAATTTTAAGTGTAATGTGCAAAGTCGCACATTCTATATTGTACTTTTTTTATTAATTCAATATACGTCAAACCGATATTGCTGAATCATACTTTGATCGTGTATGAATGGCAGTGTGAAACAAAAAGCTAAATATTACTTTAAAAATATGTACAAAACATTTTAAAAAAATGGCAAAACACCACGCTAAAACTAAATCGATCGTATTAATCTGGACGGCATTAGCAGTCTTATCTGAACATCTGTAGTATCTTTTACAGTCATATGCTACATTTCGATGTTAGTAAGATTCATGATTTGTACTGCATAACATTAAGATGGAAAAAAATAGTATGCGAATATATATTTTTAAAATTGCGATAAAAATATATTTCTATTTAAATATGTAAAATCGTCGATAAAATACAACCTTAGGCCAAGATAAACTACTGACTTACTGGAAGTTATTTTCCTCTTTATAAATATTTAAGATTATTATTGCTCTTCGAAAGGGGTAAAAAAGATATAAAAAGGCACCAGCGATTTAAAAAAAAAAAAAAACATATAACATTAAAAAATTGCGTTATAAAAACTATGCTACCTATTGATACATTTGATTGCTTGTCGAAGATTGCGTTTGTTTCCCTGAAGTTCGATAAGATGAGAAAAGAAGTCATTTGTAGTAAGTACAATGGATCGCAAACTGTAAATACACTTACTGAAATCTAAACTGTCCAGTGAATCAGGTCTGTCAAGAAATCTTTGGCTAGATTCTTTCAAATGACAAATGCATACCTCACTGATGTTATGAATGCGATTATCAAGAGTAACCAGCTCCCATATCGATACGACGCCGAATTACAACCATCCTTACTATTGCACGTACAATATTCCATAAATATATTATATGTTCCGGTTCTCATTAGGCAAAATCGCTCGTCGCCACCGATACCAGGCTCTCCCATGTAGGCGCAGTTACGAAAGTATCTCCATTCACCATTGACTGCAAACGAAACAAATATACAAAATATAGGATGTAACAGTTAAATTAGTGAATTATAAGTTTATATTCCTATAAGCAGTTGTGTGTGAAATTACATCGGGATAGATACCTTTTTGACGAACTTTACGACACATTGTTGCTTTTGCATCTGGTAAGTGCTCCAACTTAGGTTCTTTCTTACAGTCAGTGAGTGGCACAGTAGAATTATCAAACGGATCTGCACATTTTGGGTCCCAATCTGATCTGCATGCCCAACATTTGATAGAGAGGCCTGAAAAAGTACATAAAATTAGAAACATAATTAATTCCAAACATGGACTTCTTTTAATGCTTTTTAAAGTCCATTTAAACATAGTCTAAGACAGGCTGTTCTGTGGAGAAGAGGTTAGGAAAGTGTTGTCGAAATAAAATTCTTATCAAAGATATTACGTAAATCTCTATACAAACATCGGCATGCGATACAAAATATGTGTTTATAATCTCGAGCTGCGAGAAAGGTTACTTGAAGGTTAACACGCAAGTAATAATAAAAATTTTAATATTTCTTAAATATCTACCTACCTTCTTGGATGCAGCAAAGAAGCAACAAGGACGTCACGAAGAAATGAAGACGCACCTCACGGGCCATTTCTGTGAGAGAAATTCTATTTCCTCCGCGAAAATGTCCTAAGAAACAGATATAGTACCTCCAAACACGCTCTACTCGTCCACGCCTATAATTGCTATTACTGACCGCACGCTGCGCTGTCCACCCAATCGTTATACCGGGTGTCTCATAAGCAACCGAAGACAAGCAAACGCCCGCTTCAAGAACTCTGAAAACTATTTATTATAAACGCCTCAATATTAGAAAAACTTTCTGACGATAGTTCAGAAATGATTAGATAAAAAAAAAGTCATTATCGTAGAAACGACAAATATCGTTAACATCGTAAATAAGTATTAACAAACGTTTCCGTTTGATATTTTTTATTTAACAATATATAAATAACGGAAATAATTATACAATTATTTAATACAATACAACACTACACAGTAATAAATAAATAAATGAACTTCCTTGAGATTATATACAAACATATATCACATTAGAGACACTCGGTACGTCCTCGCCTAGAATTATTTAATTACCGCAATTAAGTCCACACTCACACACACATATACGCCGATACGTTACCGCTCACCCAGAGCTTATATCGGACGTCTTACAAACGACAGTATTTGAACTAAATTTGTACTTACCACAGATACTTCGACATTATCACACGCATTGGCTCACGAATCTTGAATCGCCATACCGGAGAGAAACGATTTCCGGGAGATCAAACTGACATCCGTACATTAATTTACATATCGCAAGTGAGCAAGTGGACATGAGGCTTTCTCGCGCGAAATCGCATTTCTTCATACGCTACTGAGGACTTCGGGTGTATTCGGCTTCTTCGGGATTACATCACGCGTGACTTCGTTTAACCGCGCCCGACCAGTTGCAATATTCCTCACCATAGTCTCACCCAGACTACAGCCATGCGCGCGTGTGCACGCACGTGCATATCCATGTGTATACATCCACACGTTAAATTCCATTTTCTCTCTTTCTCTCTCTCTCTCTCTCTCAACGCCAAAGATATCGAGCGTTCTCGAACGGATAATGAACCACAGGCTCACGTGGGATACCGCAAGGTGCACGCGCGCAGGCAGGCGCGACATTGTAAAAAGATCAACTGGTTGTCAATCAGCCGGCTCTCTAGTCTCTTTTTACCGAGAACGCAGACGCGTGGTAATACCAACACCGGAGACGCGAGGGTTCGATACCCTCGCCGGGACGAGCGCGATAAGGTGAATATGTTCCCTCCGCGGGGGAAGAGAAAAGAGAGCGGATCCGCTTCAGAGTGACGCGTGAAAGTGCTCCTTCTTCCGCGTCTTTCCCTCTCGGCCGCGATCGGCCGCTCTATCCGGGAGTTCGGATCGTGAAATGTTGAATCGACTGGCATGTGCAGCCGAAGTGCGTCCACCGGCATCCTCCAGCTATCTGTATCAATCCGTAGGAGGGATGAGGAGGAAAAGAAGAAGAAGTAGAAGAAGAGGTGAAGGGGGCAGGGGGTCGATCCGGACCCCACGGATCTCGTAGCCCGCGGCTACGGATCGGCTCCACTCGCTTTCGCGGGTGGTCCGCGTCGGCGACGTCCGCGCGGTCCGCTTTCCGGGGGAAACATTTGAATGCTATAAATAAATATAAATAAATTGATTTGTCGGCATTAGCATAAGTAACAAGGAAGAGAGAGAGAGAGAGAGAGAGGGGGGGAAAGAGGGAGGGCCCTCCGGGCTTCTCGGCGTCCGCGTCTCTTCGCCGTTGTCTACCTTTTCCTCCTCGGCTTTCTCTCCGTTCGGTCCCCCTCGCGCGAGTCCGCGAGCGGCCGGACGTTGATTTATACCGGTATGTCCCTGGTTCGGTCTCTGCGACGGCATTCACCGTCGACTCTTCCTCCCTTTAACTTAAAAGGACACAGGACTACGGGCTCCGTCTCCCGTCTCGCTTCCTTCGGCTCCTCGTACTCGTGGGAATTAATTCGCGGGGCGGCCTTTTGTGCGAACGCTGAATTTGCATCTTTTTGCCGTCGAAAAATTCTTGCGAGGCGCGCGAAAAGTTGAGCAATGTTCTCGTCGGCCGACGATGATGTAGAAACTGGATTCTCGAAATCCTCGAGATAGCTGATTCTTAATTAGCGGGCGGAAAGGCAGCGCAATGCTCCTCGGCTTATTTTAAGAGCGAGCGAGGTGAGCTATAAAAAAAGTTGCGCTCGATTACGACGAATTTCGCAGAACGCGTGAGAAGTTAAGTCGTATGTGCGAAAGATATTTGGAACGGGGACATCGTAGACGTTTGCTCACAGCTTGTTTTATCGGATATTCTTCGAGGGGTTGTTCAATCTCTTAACGTGCTGTATAGTACAAATAAAAATATATCTTATTTTTATCTACGCTATAACATATGGAAAGCCCGTAAAAATCGGATTGCTTCCACATGGAGAAAGAAATTTGGTTGAATTAACCGAACGATGGAACGAATCAAAGAAGAGTTTTGGTTGAAGGAAACGGAATTTCTGTTTCTTATAAGGCAAATTCGGTTCTACGACCGGAAATTCTGTTTTCTTCAGCCGAAACGTCTTCGGTTCGTTCACTATAAGGTTGATTGAACCAAACTTTTTTCCCCGTGTACATACACTGTTATCGCCAAAATTGGAGGTACATGTTGAAATAAAAGTCTTTTACGTATTTACGAAGAACATTTCAAGGTTAATATGAATTTAGAGGCGCTACGTGACAGCATCTCCAAATTTGGAGATCCAACGCGATAGTATCTCGAAATTCGAGGCACTAACCTCGTAACGTCCTTCATAAATACGTAATGCTTTTATTTCATCATTCACCTCCAATTTTGGCGACACCTAGTTAACAGTGCACGTTTCCTCGTTGGTAACCAACGAGAACGGAGATCGGTGTCTTGTCATCGACGGGGAAGAGCCGATTCGCACTGATGGCGAACGGACACAAGACTGATGATCCCTAAATACTAAGCGCGACAGGCGGCTGTTACGATCGCGCGAAAAGCAATTTTCCATAAGTGTTTTCACGAACATATTTCATTTTTTAACCTATCGCGTTCTGTCCAATGTCGCAATTGCATTCCGCAGTGCGCTTCCGCGAGTCACTCGCCGCAGTCGTTATTCGGGTTGCATCCGGGGGCGACGAGTCGCCGCGTCCATCGCGAGATGAGGATCGGATGGCTGTTCTGCGCCGTCTTGCTCTACTGCCTCGCGGAGAGTCGCGGGCGTTTCTGGCCGCTGAACGGTCGCGTGTGCGAGGACGTGCTCGCGGATATCCTACGCGAGGTACTGCAGACGTCGCCGACGCGCGATGTCCTGCTCGTACTTCGGAACTCGTCGCCGGACGGCTGGGCGGACGACATCCTCGGCGAGATATCGGCGGCGACAGCTCGACGAGTCCCGACGTTTTACGTAAACGCCAGGCCGGAGGAGGAGTTTCAGGTTTCCTCGCTGTCACGCGATCTACTCGTGTATATCTATGTCTCGCAACAAGAGCCGGACGCCGTCGAGGGCGAGCTCGTGGCCGACGACCTGCAGCACTTCGTTAGAAGGTACAGCCGGTCTAAGGTGCTCGTGCTGATGATACTCCGTCGGTCGAGTCGCGACCTCGCGGCCTTCTTCCGAACGATATGGTCCAGGCGGATCCTCGACGTGATCGTCGTGGAGCACTGCCGAGCGGACGATCGCTCGAGCGAGAGCTCCACGAGCGTTCATCGCTACGATCCGTTCACCGACACCCTCACCTGGGAACCTTACTCGGCGAACCGAACCAGCAAGTGGTTCCTGGACGACTTCCCGGACATGCATGGCTACCCGTTGGTGTACGCCTTCTCCCGGCGGCCTTCGTACAGCAACATGAAGCGAAGTTCCGCGGATAAGACGAAATGGGAATTGAGAGGCGTCGACTGGGAAATAATCAAGATATTCGCGAACAAGATGAACTTCAGCGACATCTTCTACCTACTGAGGAAAAATATATATAATCAAACTTTCGCGAACGGTACCAACGACGGTATTGTGCCCGACCTGGTCTCCGGGAAATACGAGGCTTTATTAAACACGTTACCGGCAGTCTACTATAGGGACACGGAACTCGCCGACTGCATCCACGTAGAAAAGTGGTGCTTCGTGATCCCGAGTCTGCCGACCCACCAGAACTTCGTCGAGTTCCACCAAGCCTCGATCCGTGTGCTATTCTGGAGCTTGTCGATCGTGGGGATCTTCTGGCTGTGCGGGAAGTTGATGAGGCTCGACCGGCGCAGATGGCATCCCATAAGAATCATCGGTGTCATGTTGGCCTCGTCCTTCCCACTGGAGCCCACCAGGCCGCACGAGCGGATCATTTTCCTCAGCATCTTCGTGGCCTGGGCGAGCTACTCGTCCAGCTTCGTCGCCGAGTTGACGAGCATCCGCCTGGATAACCAACATTACGTTAGGTTCGACCGCCTGTCGGATCTCTTGAATTCACACCTGACGTTGATGTTGTATCCTCAGATGACGGACATCGTCATGCAGGAGAACGTAGTCTTGGAGAATAAGATTCGCGACGTGGAAAATAAGGTCGTGGGTGTGACCCGCATAGAAACGTGTCTGAATAGTCTGCTGATGCATCGGAACGTTTCCTGCTTCATAGAAAACGGCTGGGCCATGCTGGCCGCGATCAGCAACATGCGGGACGGCGAGAGCATGCTGAGGACGACGAAACTCTGTTATCTCTGGACACCGACCGGTTACCTCTTCCCGAGAGGATCGCCTTACATCAAGCGCGTCAGCGAGCTGCTGCTGATGCTCACACAAAGCGGCCTCCGCGATAAATGGCATCGCGACTACATGCAGGAGGAGGCCAGGGCGATGAGCAAGAACAAGCTGGATCAAAACCGGAAGGATTTCACACACGCCGACGTATTCCTACCGATAATCTCCGTGCTGGAGTTCGGCTACTTCCTCTCCATCCTCGTGTTCTTCGGCGAGCTGATTTGGAAGCGCCTCCGCTCGTGGCTATGCTGAATGCGTGTCCTTTGTTAATCCCGCGGCAAGATAAGTAGCGGTAACGCTGAGTGCCATTTTCAATGGCGCATTGACGAAACCACTCATAAATTTAGTATTTATCAAGCAACGTCACGTTCCTATACATTTATTTCTCTGTCAAAATAATAAATAAATAATAAATGTTAATTTCAAACGAAGAATTGAAGAATACGAAAGAATGTTAATTTCAAACGAAGAATAGACATGTACACAATATTACAAATACAAAAATATAATTATTTTTTTATTTTCTCGTTAATGCGTGTGCTATTTTTGTTACTGTTAGTCGATCTAATAAAGATGCACAGGTAATAGAAAAAGATATATAAGTATTTAAATATATGCGCATATATATATGGAGTATAAGTTATGAATATTACATCGCTGTATCTTCACAACAAAATGGTCAATAATTCTGAAATCTTCGTATATAATGCCTTTATGTTAGTTTTTAATATCACAATAGTTTTCCATTAAAATTATAAATGTGATTTAGGAGAAATTAAAGATAGAAGTTAAAAAGAGGATATTAAGAACCTCAAAGATTACATATAAAAAATGTCAAGTGTTCTCAGTTGCGAATATCTCAGCGTTGGAATGGCCAATCGTTTTCTAATTGCGCCAATAATTAGATCATAATTAGATCAACCTACATGCAGGGTATCCCAGCACAAGGAGGGCACTTAAATATCTCCTTTGTTTTTAATGTAATGAGAAATGTTTGGAGCACGATTTGAATGATTTCGAAGGAGGAATATCGCGGAAGGAAAGCTTCTTTTACGGTAATTTTTTCGATTTTTTTAAGGTCCCCATATTTAGACCCCCAAGATACCTAGGTATTCTTCTGAGACACCCTGTATAGTGCAAGTTTCAACGAATGCTTAAAAACTCATTTTACGCTATTACTATCTTGAGCACGAGCGGAGACAAGCGGCAGCGGCGGTGCGCGACGGAGAACGCGGGCGAACGCTATCGGAAGAGATCTCTGTTTTCTTCCGCAATATTCTCTGCCACTCGGACGACCAGCGAGACAGGGCATCAATCAATGTTATGACACTCGCAATTGGCGAATTGGCTCCCGTTCGCGGCAGTCGGCATTATCGGATCGGAGCGAGCAGGCGTTGTCGCGAAGTTTATCGCCCGCGCGACACACCGATACGGCGCGATAATGACACGCGTACTTAATCGCGTCTCGCGCATTGTGGCGTGCAGTTAATCTTCGTTAATGCGAGTGCAAAGTGAAAAAAGGGAGAGAGAGAGAGAGGGGAGAGGGGGAGCGTCGTCGACATTTAATATCGTTATATACGAGCGATTTTAATCAATGTAACAGTTTCGTCAAACGGCAGGAACGCCTCCTGATCGGCTGGCGAGGCAGCGTGTGTATCGTTGCTTTATACTTGTTACGTGTGAGTCAACCTCTCTTTCTTTCTTTTTCTTTCTCTCTCTCTCTCTCTCTCCCTCGCTCCGTCTGGTTTTTGGTCGAAAAGCGGCCCTCGTTTCGGGAACGGACGAAATCACCGGCTGCTCTTCCGAGCAGCAGCAGCGGCCCGCTCTTGCTTATTTTTTCCTCAAAAAACGGCCAATTTCGTGTAATCTTCCCTGCGAGAGCGGGGCGTGGCCAGACCACAGGGATACTCCGGTAGGCAACTGCGATGTGTGTCATTAACCGAATCCCCCTGCTCGATCTCCCGAATCTCCTTCCGAACTTATCGAACGGCTGATTTTAGAGCTTAGAGAGTTACGAAAGCGCGATCTAATCGTAATCGGGCCGACGAGGAAGGGAGTGAAAGACGCATGCGCACGGCAATAACGATCCCTAACGACGTCGCTTCGACGTCCCTTTTTTGAAGAGCCGGATCGACGGCTTCGGGCCAGATGCTTTCGATTGACATCGCGATGTCAAGCCGTTCGACGGACGGCGGGCTTCTCGTCGCCGGTTATTTCTAGCATCGGCGTCATTCCCTCTCGCGCGTCTTTCATTGTCATCGTCGAGTTAGATGCACGTCCGAGTGACCCAGATCCTGCCGGGCGTCAAAGATCGTGGTCGCGGGGTGAGCGAGCTCGATATCAGCGTGCGTTTCGCAATCCCCGCGCCGCGAGAACCCGTTCGCGATTTCAGGGCGATCGGCGCGCCGGCGGAAAATCACCTCGACCACCTCGGCGCGTAGCGGAGAGAACGCGCAAGAACGTTTCGGTACCGCGCTATTAGGTGGCTAATCCGTTTTGAAATTAATGTCGGAGGGGCTCGATCTTATCGCCGACACGGCGAGAGAGACCAGTCTGGCCGGTCCGCGAGCATACGCAACGTCGCTCTCCCGCCGCTTTGCACGCTGATAAACAAATCTAGCGATCGACAATATTAATTTCTATTGGAACGTGTTTCGTTACAGTGAGAAAAAAGTGTCCGGATCAAGAAAATCAGCAGTCACCGTCATTACAAAGAAATATTTTGCCCGCTTATAGTTTTAAAGGCTCGGAAAGAAACCGGGGTTTTCTCCATTTTCCGGCGGATTTCTTCGGTTTCTCCAGAGGCTAGAAAAATTCGTTTGGAAACATTCAGGCGCGTTCGGTTAAAATCTACCACGTTGATTTTTTCCGTAAAGAAGACGAGAAACCGGAAAAAATCCGCGGAAAAATAGGAAAAAAACTGTTCCGTTCCGAGCCTTCAAAACTGTAACGTCCACTGAACAAATTACGCACCGGCACGATAACACGTTGCGTCGATGTTTTCAAGTTCAAGTGAAAGCTCTGAAGATGATGAAAAAATAGAATATTATTTAAACGGCCGTCGCACACTCAAAGAAGGCTCTGGTAACAACCTAGTCAGAACAAATTGCTAAAAGGTGTCTTAAAAACGTCCAAAAGACGTTCTATTTTCCTTCGATATCTTTCAGGCATCCTGAAGAGGTCTTTTAGAAATTTGTGCCCGGAAAATAGCCAAATTTACTTGATACATACCGAGCAAATATTGAATTGCTACAATGAAATAATCGAGCTCCGTATACTGTATATACAGCACTTTAGTCCCGAATGCTGCATACATATATAATACACGGGGCGAAATGATTTGGCTGCGGTAATCGAACATTCGGCATGTATTAACCAAACGGTTACCAAATATCCTCCGTTTGATGTACGTGGCCGGCCGCGCGAGAGACGGAGGTGCCGTCTGCCGCGACGTACCCCACCGCGCCGACTGTTCCCGCAGAATCACCCTCCACTTCCGCCTGGCTTGGCAGCCACTCCTCTCTGCAGCCTCCGTTGATACTTCCTCTCTCGCGCGTGTATCTCGTCAGTCGGCCTGGAGCCACGTGCGTGCGCTCTCTCGAACGGCTCCCGCATGGGACATACATTGGACAGCTTCGTATCGCGCCGGACGAGCCGCGCGACCGATCCTCCCGCAGCGGCCGATGACAGATGAACGTCTTCGGCGCGAACTTGGTGCAGAGAAGAGGAAGAAGAAGAAGATCGCAGGGCAGATCGTGAAGGGCGAAAGAAGAAGAGGAGGAGGAGGAGGAAGGAGAAGATTGCACTGCTGCGCGGCCGCTTCCCGGTTCATTCGTCTCCGCTCTTCATTTATCAGCGAGCCGAGAAAGCCGGGAACCCCTTCTTCGCACCGAAGAAGCAATTCGAGCCGCCGAATCCAAGAGATATCAGTGAGACACTTCTTGATAATAAGCAGCGCGATCCTCGACGAGGAAGATGATGGACAATCGTTCGACGCGACAATCGGACGACGGACGAAGTATCGTCCGCGGGAGATGAAGAAGAATCCACTGCTCCTGCGGATTAACTCTCATCGAGAGGCCAAGGCTGCTCGATGCGAGCTGCCGGGTGAGATCGCGAGACACTTGGCTGTTTCGAGCCCGACGAATCGCGTATAACTCGGCGTGTATCCGGGCCCAAAAGTCGGATTCGCGGATTCGAGATCGGCGGTCCGCGAGGACTCACGATTCGCACTTTGAGCACCGGAGCAGAAGCGAAATACAGCGCGCAGGTTCGTCGATCCTCGGGCTCTCCTGCGCCGCGGTATGATCCACGCCAATAGCGGCGTGGCTTCGGGGAAGAACAAAGATATCGCCGCGAGCTGAGAGCGCGAGACTAGACTTAGGTGGCTCAAAGGTGAAGACAGACGGTCGGGAAGTCGGGGGGAACTAAAAATACCAGCCGGGCCCGAGCGAGCGCACGCGGCGGCCCCCGTCGCCGTATATTCCTACGCTGGACAATTTTACCGGCTGGAGCGGAGCAATATCTCTCCATGAGGGACAAGGCGAGCCTTTAATCCCTCGCGGTCGTGGATCGAGCATCTCGACGCAGCGTCGTCAGCGCGAAGAGAGCTCGTTGACGGATCGGACGCATTCGCGCTCCTTCGACTTCGGCTGCTGTACTTCGCGCGCTACTCGCTCGTCGTCGACGGTTACCGCTGTAAAAGTTCACACCGCATCGAGGCCTGCACCGGGTATCGTCGGTAGGAAACTGAGACTCCGAGGCCTTCCTTCACTCGAACCGCCGAGAGAATCGGCCTTGATCGACGGACCTGTTCGCGCCTGGCGAAACTTGGGGCTATTTATTCTTTCCGCCACGGTGTGCACACCGGGGTAAGATTTCGCATGGGTTGACGTTATTTAGGGAACCAGCGAAGCACGTAGGAGTGAAGAGCCGCGCGAGAACGCGCGCGCGCGCCCGGCAGACGTCAAGTGTGATCTTTTGATCTTGTAACGATTTGCACGCGAGAATAAGACGTCAAACGGTTTCGTCGGGAATAAAGTAGCTAACATGCATGAAGTGTAGTTGCTCTCTCTCTCTCTCTCTCTTTCTCTCTCTCTCTCTCTCCCCCGTTCTTTCTCTTCTTCTGCTTCCTTTTCTTCTTCGCGTTCCACGGCCAGTCGGCCGGCCGGCACGAAGCGGCGGGCCCGCCGGCTGGAAGAAGTGTAAATCATGCCGCGCTATAATGGGAATCATTGCGAAACGCGCGAAGAACACGGAATCCCATCGCCGGGACGTTCGCATCGTTACCGCCGGGGCTCTCTAATCCGCGGATTAAACGGATTAATCGCGGGCTCTTGTGTCGCCGTAATCGCGCGAACATCTCGGGCGCCGCGAGATCCAAATAGATCCTCCCCCGCAATAACACGAACCGCTTCGTCCCGTCCCCTGATCCTGTTCAATCCTGAGAGTAACACCCGAGATCTTGACGCTGAAGTAACATCACAGGTCTCTCGTGATTTTTGCATTTTTTTTTTTATTTATCTCCTACGGATTACTTACATTTACCAAGTTCATCGCTAATTTTTACTTATCGTAGACCTTTTACAAACTGGTTGCCGCCGGAAAACCAGTTATTTCATCGGATCAGGCTAATAACACACGAAGGAAATTTTTTCGCTGGCAAAGCGAATTGTTAATTACTGCAGCGACGGCTGCAAAGATTTACATCCACGAGAAAAGTAATTCTGCCGTTGCAGCCGGATATCGTTGCAACCACATGAAATAAAATTTAACTGGCCGCGCCAGCGAACAATCTTTCTCCGTGCGGTAGTGATCGCATGTATCCAACTTCTTTCCCTGCAACAATAGAAGAATAGGAATGGGGTGAAACGTACTGCCAAGACCCGTAACAGGGGACATAAGCGAAAGGAAACGCGTGTGTGCCCACCATGTCACTGTCAGGGTTGAGAGACTCGCGAACTCCTCTGTGAGCGCGACGAGGACGTAACCCGTCATTTACCCCCGATATCATTATGTGATTAGCCCTCGCCTAAGAGGAAGTCTGTCTGTCGGTTTTCAGCGCTCCAGATCGCCATCCGGCAGAACACGCGTCCAAGAGCCGGCCAGTGTCAAGGCCAGGAGGCTGTCGCGGCGGAAGGTCGTCGACGGAGGAGGATCGGTCGGTCGGCTCGCTGCTTGTCGAGTCTCGTGGAGTCCTCGCTCGTCCGTACATACGTACATCGGCGGTATTTTACGGCGCAGTTGTTTGAAATTCTTTGCGTGGAGTCGCGCGCCCGTATTTATAGACCCCGTGCGCGCGCGCGCGCGCGACGACGACGCGGTACGTAGGGCCGTGAACGCGCGCTCACGCGCTCCTCTCGGTAGGTAGGTAGGTTAGCGGTGAATAGGTAACGCGGGGTACCGTGGAACACACGCCGAGCCGAGACAGCGGCCAGCGAGCGGCACGTTGCGATCATGACGCGATGCATCCGCGACGGGAGTACCGGCCTGCCTCCTCCTCCGCCGCGACGAGCAGCACGTCCCCGGGCTCGCCGAACTGTCTGCGTCGCCGTCTGCGAGCCGTCCGTCTCACGGGCATGACCGCCACCCTCACCGGCGCCGCGACCATCCTCCGAGTCTTCGTCGTCCTGCTCGCGCTCGGCCACGCGGCCGCCGCCGGGGACCCGGTGAGTACTCTGCACGCACCCTGTTATCCCTTCGTCTCAGCTCGCGCTGATTCTCGCCACTCGCAACATTCCACGGAGGAAAGTATCGTTCTACTTCTGAGAATAGCAATTGCCCCGTCTAATCTCCTTCTTTGGAATTGTTGCTAAAGGATAAATGAAATGAAAGGATATTTTCTTGATAATAGTCTTATGATGTACTCATCGTCCCGGATCCGCAATAGGTGTAGTAAGCCTTTAGCTTTTTTACCCTGACTAAATTGTAACGCAAATTCTTGCAAATAACGTTTCTAACACACTACCAGACGTAACGCGATTTTCAAGATTTAAGCGTTGTTGCGACTTTTGGCAGCGCGGGATACGTCGATTCGTTAGAAATTGCGTTACATTTTACTGCTTAGAGCAAAAGGCTTATCACACCTGTTTTGAATACGGACTCGCAAATTTGAGATAAGCTCGTTACCACGTACTCGAAGGAAATATCTATTCTCCTTTCAAGGAACATTTTCAAGATTAGAAACTTTTCATCGAAAGAAAGTCAAATTCGGTTAATTTGAATAAGCGCACACACAAACCGAGGTTTATTTTAATTTAATATTCTAGGGTGAATTACTAAACTTGCCGGGGAGAACGCGCCGGATCAAACAATTTTCGCGGATCACAGACTACCTTGTCGCGCAGATTTCAGTGTTGATTGCTGTAACGTATGTGTGAAAGCTTAATTGATGATTGAATTACCAAAGGTACGAGTGACTTTTCACTCGTACAAAGTGAATTCTCCGCTCCGGGTCGCCGAGTGAATATTTTCATTCGGAACTGCAGAGTGGATTTAATACATTTCACCGGCACGGGAACAAATGCGAATCGATCGGAACGTTTCTCCCAGTAATCTCGGTAATCTCATTGATTGAAATAATCCGCTCTTGGTGTGTTAGTGAACATTCACTCTCATGATTCTTCCGCGGCGGTATCTCCGCCATCGCACCGAGTGAATTTTCGCTCGTTTTCAATGAGATTTCATCCCGAGAAATTTAGAGAGTAAACCTAATGAGAGGCGGTGATGCCGGTACAGCGCCGGCGACCGTCCACGTCAGCGATCAACCCGTTGATCTCGTCAAATTAATCGGTCATACGCGGATCGTTGCGCTCGTCAGGAGCCACGAGGATCCCCGGATATTCAACTAATCGCGGCGAAATAGCCGGCCAATAATTTCCACGATAACGCACGACGTAGACTGAACCGTTCGCCGCGAAAGTATCGACCCCCGTGCGCGCGTTATGTTACGACGGGCGAGAGGACGGTGCGCGCCCCCGGCCGATTATCGAACGCGAGATCGTTTAGTCGGGTGAAACGGGGCATTACGCGTGCCTTGTACCCGGCTAATGCACTGTAATTTCGGATATTTATCGTGTACAAGTTTACTTAATTGCGTTACCGAAATCGTATCTGGTAACATGGCGCGACCGTGGCCGGTTAATGCGCACCGTAATTTCCGAGAGCGCGTATAATTTCGCGCTGAGGTTTGATGCACGATAAATTGATATTAACTCGAATAATATAGATTCGCGAAATTATACTCGACACAGAGGGAGGATACAACCCCGCGGTACCTCCACGCATACCCCCTCCGTTCTCATACGGCTTGATTAATAAACTAGAATCTCTCCGCATGAACGTGCCGCGGTGATGAACGGCTCGCCGAGTCGGGGAGAACGAAGTATCGAAATATTCCCGAGGTTCGCGAACTCGCCTCGGACAGCCCCGGATTAATGCGATCCAATTTGTCAAAGGTGAATCGGTGATGAGTAGGTAGATTAAGGAAGACGGAAAGTCCCGAGGAGCCCGGAGCGGCCGATAAAGCATCGCGTCAGTGGGAACCTAGCAATAGCGGCGCAATTACCAGGCCCCGAAGTGGGGAAACCCCCCCGTTTTAGCTAAGCACGCCGGGATAATTACTGTAATCTCCTTACGTGGCCATTCTTAGGCCGCAATAATTATTTATAGTTTCGAGGTTAATATGCCGACGCGTATAAACTAGTCCCAACGTCGCGGACATACGCGCAGACATATCCGCGAGCCAGTAACTAGCTCGAAATCGCCGCGGCTATAATCGCTATCGATTCGAGGAGTCGATAGTCCGGCCGCGGGAACGCGAGGAGGTGCGCGCTCAGGGGTATATCTCTCGCGAAATACAAGGTTCCGTTAGCGAATGAGCGAGCGAGCGAAGGAGCTGAATCGAACGCGCTGAAAGTCGTGTGAACCTCGCGTGGGATTGACGCGACGACGCGCGCCGGACAATATATCCAGCGCGCGGAGGAACGCGGAAGTGCGAATCCCTGAAACTCAAACAGCACTTGTCGATTTGTCTTACGTAATTCAGCACACTCCGTGCGTGCGCGCGGCGTCACGAGAGAGGAGAGAGCAGCGCCGAGCGCTGAGCGAGACGAGCGCGACGATGACTTAAGGTCGTTCCTCACACTATCGGTCTGAACGGTGACGACGGACAGGCATCCGTTGATCTAGCGATAAGATATTTCCGAATGGCTTTGTATTGGAGCGACGGACTTCTGTCTGCCACCTTCTAGATAGGATAGAGAGTAAGAGAGAAAGGAGGGAAAAGATAAAAGTGTTTATTAACCCTAGAATTATCTCCTGAGGGCGTAGTAAAGAATGCAATAAATAAATATATCAGCTTCTGAAGCCAATCTACAATGGAGGGCCGTGAAACAAAAATTAGAAATATCAACAAAAGAGATGGAAGAAATAGGTGATGGAAATAGGACAATGAGAATCACACATACCGAATAGAAACATATTTAGTCGGTTTGAGTCAGAAGTTAGAAACTAGCTGGCACAGACTAGATTACATTTTTTAGCTCGTTACTGGTCAATTATTCACTACGTAGAATCGATTTTGCGATCTAGCCGTTCTTTAGCCATTAACGATCAAATATCATAGAGTAAATGCCGCTGTTTATTCTGAAATACATAATCTAGCTATTATATATATTTCCTTCTAATATTTAAAAATGATGTGGCAGATCAAAATTGGGAGGGTGCATTATTCCATAAAAATCTATCCATAAAAGCCAGAAGTGAGCCGTTACGTTGCTGGCAATCAGTTACGATTTTTCCTCTTGCAACTGCAATTACCTTTAACTTATTTATCTAGCCATTAAGTTCGTGCGTTTCAGCCGAACTAGATTTCACTTTTTGCCTCAACGGTATAACCCAGGGTCGAAGGGAGAAGGAAAGAAGTTCCAGTGCAGCGTTAGTTGATCTGAAACGAACAGGCCTATTATCTAGCCATTAGGAGAAGCGTTACATTACCGGCGAGCAGCGCCGTTAGACACAAATTTACTACCTCGTGGCTGGACATCCCGTTTCTATTACCAAGGCAACCCTTACTCTCGACGAGGCGTCTAATGCGACGCTTCCTCGGCGCGTCGTCGTCCGGGGCTTCGCAACAGCCGATTCTTTCGATCGAGATTCAGCTCGGCGCACACGCACTGCCAAGCCCAATCCCCTCGATAAGACCTTCTCGTCAAGCGTGGCGGCGGCGGGTTATATTTGGCCGGACGACCGTCGGAACCTCTCCGCCGACGCAACGCGTCATACGTGACGTTACCGTGCGCGGACGGTATTACTTCGTAATCGGACATCCGGAGGATCGCGGCGTTATCGCGCCCTGTCATTCGTCCGGTCGGGACGAAGCTGGCACACATTCGTCGAGCGGACTCGACGAGAGGGAAAGCGAGGTATCCGGACGCGAACGACGGAGATGGAGGAACAGATAAGCGTTTATCGGTGTCCTCTCGATTGCTCGTAGGTCCACGCTAACAAGCTAATTTACGGCGCCATCGGTGTCGAGGTAGACGCGCTGAGACGGCCCGTAGATGGGCCGGCAGACCGACGCGACCGGTCGGCCGTAAATTCGAGTTCGTTCGTCGGAAATAATCGCGCGACTCGGATATTTGTTTCTACGGCTTCGATCGCGCCACTCGGGATACGCGCGACCTGCTGTGTGTTTTTTTACGCCGCGCTTTTCCGCGTCTCTCTTTCCGCGTTTAACAGAGCGCGCGGGTCTGTTTATTACCACGTCGTTGCTGGGAGAGCTGACGTTTGCGAGCTCGCCTAGGAAGTCCCGGAGTAACTTAAACGCGTTCTCCCAGCCCGTTTATTAACGCGTCCCGTCGCGTAAATACCCGCTCTGGTTCGTCGAAACGCTGCTGCCTTCCGATCTCGCGGTTATGATCTCGCGCGTATCGGCCGCTTCTTCATTAGCGGGTCTCTAACGTTCTATAACGCCCCGTCGGTAGCCCGGTATTTTTTAATAGTGCACACGATCGAATGCAGTCGATGCCGATACTTTGTCGCTGATATACTCGAGACGACGAAGAGATCCTCGCGAGTGATAAGGGGTTGGCGGGAATCTTTTATCAGCGTGACGGGCTTCCCTTTTATTCCAGGTTCCCCTTTGCATTTATGCGGGGTGTCCCAGAATCGACGTCCTTAACATGACTAATCCTTTGGGATATTCTAAGGCGAAAGTTCGCGGGAACGTCGAGGGAGGTCCTTATTCAAAACGACTTTTCAATTTCCAACACAACGTATGTTTGTAACTAGAGCTTATAAAGTAAACTTCCGTAAGAGTGAAATCCGCTTGAAATTGATCGAAGAGAATAATTTTGTCATTCGTTCGGTCGCTCGAAGTTTCGTTTGCGAAAAGCTCCTCGCTTCCTCGATCGCTTGCACTTCGGAAATGATTGACGCCTCGACACTTTCCTGTTTGAACTTTCATCTTAGAATGCCCCGAGGAATCTGTCATGTCAAGGACATGCGTCGGTTTCGGAACACCCTGTATGGGATTCGCTTGAAATAAAATACATTTCTCTTCGGCACCAAATGTATCAATTAGTTATCAACTTGTGACGAGTGATTCTCCCGTCAGCCATACCGAATGCACGATTCGCGAGTTATTCACCGTCGGCGTGCGCAACTT